ATTGGCCTGTGCTCCTGCATCCTCTCTACTCCAATTTGCGTTGTCATTTGTTACGGTGGGCTCGAGGTATGCATCTCTTTGGGTGAACTTGTCGGTTCTTAGCCACTTTCACCACTGTTAAAGAGTATATGCGGCCATATGACTTGAGATGTGAGGAGCATAAGCGGCATCAGGACGGGTAGGCAGGTAATTGTCTTCACCATTCAACGAGAAGTTGTCCGTTTGGTCCGATGTTTGAATAGAACATGACAACAGCGGCAGAGGACGTAGTCGGAAGTGTCCCCTTTAAGGACCCTCTCAAAGCACGGCAGGATGCGAAAATGAGATCATACCATCTATTATTCGTGTCTTGAAGTTATTCGAATTTTGAATTTTGCAATTCTTCGCGAATCCAATATCACCGAAACACATTTGCTTGTTTTTTTTGCTCTGGTATTTGGACTATTCTTCGACTCACATGTTGATCATCATCATCTTGATTATCATCAGACCGGCTTTGCTTGTGCCCAGGCATTCTCTCAATTCCTTCCTTCTACATTTGATTAAGCTTCAATCGCATTCGGATGCCCTACAAAGTGATTGTAATAACATTGAGTCTTGCAGACACTCACTAAGACTGCTTATAAAGAATTGGTTGCTTGCAATTTCGTCGAGAATAAAGACAGGCAAAGGCTAATTATGACTATATGATGAACTCTTTCATTAGCAACTTTCATTTTCCTGAGCTCCCTGTTGGAACACTAGGGGCTCATTTTTCATTTAATTGTGTTAACTTTGCAAGGAGTCCTGCCTCTCGACTTGATCGTATGGTCTGGGAATGAAGTAATATGGAGGATGTAGCAACATGAAATACTATGATTATTCACAGTACGGCTTACGGATATAGCTGACTTTGCTTGTACCTTTGACAAGTTGCTGGTTGGTGCTAGGCATTTTGTCCTGGTCACTGACAGTGCCGGCTGAGATGAGCACTTTGGTGAAGCTGAAGCGTCTTGAAATATTCCGGTTCAGCGGCACATGATGACACTGACAGAAGGCGCAACTTGATCTATCCTTCTGTAAACTTTCCCCTTTAACCCGACCAAGTCGAGACGATGATATCGAAACCACTCTTCTAGTTTTCTCTTTCTCTCCTCTCCCAAACACTACACGTGCATATCTGCTTGCAAACGCGTGTATATGGGCGCACGCACATTTTCCTTCTGTTGACCCGTTTCTGATCAGTCAGACGACATTCCGGGAGCCGTGGAGATGGAGCTGGTTAATATCATCGGTGACGGGACAACTGCCCATATGCTAGCCTTGTTGACCGGCCTCTTCGAAACCGAGCTACCAGAATCCCGGCGTTTTCCCGACAATCGATTTCGGCCAGTTGAAGAAGCCTCCCAAGGGGTGTTGAAAGGCGAGATCGCCAATGAGACGACAGTCGACACCTTTCCCTGGGTTTGGGACCGATATTCCAGGCTGGCCGGCTACGCGACTCATTACATCGAGGACGAGCCGCACTGGGGCTCCTTCCAGTACCGGTTGCGCGGCTTCGGGGCTGCCCGAGAGCCGGTCACTAGCTACGGTCGACCCTGTCTTGTGCAGGCCATATCTGACGTGAAGAAGTATCCACGTACTCTTGGTTGCATCTATTCCAGGTGCTTCTATTTTCACCTCTATTTAGTTCGGCTTTTCGCGCTCTTTCGAGGCCTGCTACTCCTTTTTTTCTCATACCTGTTTCCATTTACTCATCCTTAAGCGACCCTTAGTATGTACTAGAAATGCTTAGTGGGCTAAAGCGCCAAGTGAGAGGGGGCCCGTACTTGCTATGGTGAGAGAGTGCGGCTATTTAGCTCACCCTCACTTCGAATGAAGCTGATGAGACAATGAGGTAGGATCAAGGTTGCACTCACGCCCATCACTGTCCATTCTTAGTTTTCCCGCCACTGACTACTAGGCCAACTCATCCTCACTTGCATTTGGACGAAAGAGCGACCCACTACTTTTGAAGTGGTCAAGATTGGCCGCCTTATTGTTAGCCGCAACTAATTTTGGTATTGGTAGGAAGACTTAAAGGAACGCACCTAGTCCGGAGTCCATTGTATTCATCATCATTTCCAGAGTAGGTGAAGGGGATGAGAACGCCACGTGGATTGTGAAGGGTTTTCATGGATGCCGCTCGAAGGAG